ATCATGCACCTAAAGTTTTAGGTCAACGCACTTTAAGTTTCAACAACTGACGCACTTAAGCACACAAATCACGCACTTAAGAACGAAAACCACACACCTTAAAAAGAAAAATCACGCACCTAAAGTTTTTGACCGACGCTTAATAAGCACACAACACAAAAACCCCGCACGAAAATCCATACATACATATATATATATATATATATATATATATATATATATATATATATATATATATATATATATATATATATATACACACACACACACACACACATACACACACTAGTCTTTTCTATGCGCGATGTGCAAAAACATATGGTAAATATTTATATTTTAAAAAATAACTAACAAATTTTTACTAATTAAAATTTAAATGAAATAAAATCTATTTATTATATTAATCTAATATATATATATATATATATATATATATATATATATATATATATATATATATATATATATAGTGTCTACAAATATTATTATCATTAAAAAATATAAGAAAAGATATGTTGGAGGCATTTGAATGGTAAAAGTAATGGGAAAGATAACAGAAGTTATAACGGTAAAGGTACTTTTGTCTAAAAAATTGTATAATACAACTCTAAAATCACAATGTACAAAATAATTAGCACTAAAAATAAGGACATAAATTAGGAATATAATTTTGATTGAGATTTAATTGGTCTTGTTTGGTAAAAAAATTGGCCTATAGGCCAATTTTGACTTATTTGACCACTATTAATTCTTTGATTTAGTTAAAATATCAATATAAGTGTTTGGTTAGTTAACTTTTGCAACTTCAAAATGCTAAAATTCAAAAAGCTACTCCAAACAACTTTTTTAATTAACTTTTTTAAAAAAGAAATTATACCAAACAGCTATCAGCTAACAGCTAATTTATCAAACACTTTTCTACAACGGCTAATGTTATCGACTAGTTATACCCTCTAGTTAACACAATCAACTAACATCTAACAGCTAACAACCATTTACCAAACACGGCCTTATGTTTTTAGATATAGGGGCATTTAGGTACTTTTTCACATGGTTTCTTTGCATGTGGTTTCCATACGGATTATGTTGCCTGAATTTAGAGAATTATAATCATGATTTAAGGAATTTTTTTGGTCATTTTTCTTTTTTTTTTTTTTTTTTTTTGAAAGGACAGTTATTTTCCTTAGTTCTTCTTTTGATTCTTTCCGGCGCTGGTGATGACTGCTTGGCATGGCTTCATGTTTGTTCTCTTTGTTTTGTTGTTTTGATTTTATTTTATTTTTGTCATTCGTTAGAGTATATTTTTTTATTATGTTTGTTGATAAATACGTGATTTTAGGAGAGGTGCATCGTTGTTGAGCTATGCATTGGTGGTGCTATCAGGTATCGTTGCTAGCATGAGGTTATACATTTGAAAAATTTTCTTCCTTTTTTATTTTGGGTCGTTGGGGATATTTGGCGTGGGTGGTGCATAATGATTGTGGGGATGTGCATTGGTGAGATTAGTGCGGTGCATCGTAGAACGTTGGGATGTGTATCGGTGTCCACTATGTGGTAAATTTTGTGGGGTTTTTAAGAGTTAGAGCAACAATATCAGCGCATAATATTGGGATAATGTCAGAGGAAATAACTTTGGTGGGGTTTAAAGATAGATGTGGGGTTTAAAGATAGATGTGGGGTGGTGTTAATTCATGATTTATTTCTCCTGCAAATGTTGCATATTTGTGGGTCCTGCTATTTGATAGAAACGATGAAAGCAGCTTAATTGTTGCGCGTGGAGCGCAACCAATGCGCACAGTAAGCAAAATACACTGTTCTCTTGTTCACTTCATTCTGTGCATGTTTTTTGCTTTTCTGTGATTTTTTTTTTTTTTACTTTTCTGATTTAGGTGTCAGATTTATATGATTTTTTCTTTTTTTTTTCTTCTCTTTTTTTTCTTGCACTCTTTCTCTTTCCTAGTTGTAACTTAAAAAACTGTGAAAGAAATGAAGCTGATATGGATGCTCTTAGGGGCTAGGGTTTAGGGTTTAGGGATTTAATGCACTTACAAATTGCTATACACCTTTGTGCACTCTCGGAGTAAAAGTCGTGCATTGCACATATTCTATGGAGCAATATTGTGCATTCTATATTAATATGGTTAAGCCCTGAATTGGAGGTCAGAAATGAAAGGGATTATATTTTAAAAATTTTGATTCATAGTACATATAATGGCAATGAGGTGGTGTAGCGTGTGGATTTTGCGCTTATTTGTTGATTAAAGGTTTATTGTTATAGACAAATACATCCTTAGAGGCCAAATATGAATGATTTTTCAACCTAAAATAATGCTAATTTTAGAAAATATAGGTTAACAACCAACTATAGATGGAAAAAAATGAACAATCTAGATTAAACCACAAATTCTCTTCTGGAGAGTGATTCTCATGGGAGCCGGACCATATATGTTTACTTTAATTAAAATTTATAACATTTGAATTTAAATATTATATCATTAAAATTGAATAGTAGTAAATATTATCCAAAATATACTAATACATTAAAAATGTTTAAATTTATTGTAAAAAACAATTCAATTAAAAAAAAAAATTGTTTTAAGAATGACAACCATTTGGTTTGTGAATTATCTTACAAAATGCAAGATTTTTTAAATAAAAATAAAAAGAAATAAAATAATCCGAGTGTATACGACGCAAGCACCTATTGACTTATTGAGTGGGCAACGTGCATTTCATGTGCGCTTTTTTTTTTCTTTATTATTTTTTTAATCTCAAAAAATCAATTCTTGCAATAGAATGCACTAAAAAAATGTTTAGAAGTTGTTTTCAAAAAAAAAAAAAAATGTGAAGTATATTTTAAAACAAGATTTTGCAAAGGTGTACTTTTATTGGCTTGGAAAAATATTAGTGCAAATGCTTTTGGAAAGATGTTAACCCCTATTACTTGTACATTTTGGTATCAATAGAAGGAGTAATGATTAAATCTAATGTTCATATGTCATATCTCTACAACCATATTTGGAGTTTTTTGCACTTTTAGTCCCACGACTATAGTGGCACTGGCAGAATTGATCCACGACTTTTGAACCTTGCAATTTTAGTCCACAACTATTGATTTTTTTGCAAAAATGGTCCTTCCGGTCACTTTTTAGTCAAAATTTCACCGGAAAAATAAAATTCTCCATTTTTAGCCGGGTTAAAATTGACATTTTACTTATCTAAAAAAATTGGTATTTGACTACATACAATATTACTGGGCTACATACTACTGCCCCAGGCGGCGGAGTTCCTGGAGCAGGCAGGGCTGTCAGTAAGCAGCGGAGCGGCCGTGGCGTTCCCCGGGCTAGTTGGGTTATCCGACAGCAGCATTGGAGTGGTACATGTATTCCGCCGCCTGGGGCAGCAGTATGTAGCCCAGTAATATTGTATGTAGTTAAATATCAATTTTTTTCTTTTAATTTTTTGAGATAAGTAAAATGTCAATTTTAACCCGGCTAAAAATAGAGATTTTTTTTTTCCGGTGAAATTTTGACGGAAAAGTGGCCGGAAGGACCATTTTTACAAAAAAATCAATAGTCGTGGACTAAAATTGCAAGGTTCAAAAGTCGTGGATCAATTCTGCCAGTGTCACTATAGTCGTGGGACTAAAAGTGCAAAAAACTCACCATATTTGTTATAAAATTTATCATTTATTGCTAATAAAAGTAACTAAACTGAACATCAAAGCTCAAAGACTAAGAGCATTCATAAGTGTGGATATTAGATGGTTTTTTCAGAAGAAAAATCTAGTGTTTGGTTTTTGAACAGATGTGAAAGTAAGTTTTTTCTCATTTCATCTTCCTTACAAGTGTTAAAATTATTGTGGGATCTACAATTTGTTTAAGAAAAACAATGCAACAGCATGAAGAAGGTGTGTGGGTCACAACAAGCGCCCAGCCATTGCACGCGCCAGCAGGTGCGTTAACTTGTAATGTTTTTTTTTTTTTTTTTTTTTTCGTGGCAGAATAAATTTTTTTCCTTTTTTTTCTTTTTATTATTCTTTTTTTTCTCCTTTTTCTCTTTCCTAATCACACTTACAAAAACTCCTCAACAATCGCAAAAAAAAAAAAAAAAAAAAAACAAAAAAACAAAAAAAAAAAAAACAAAAACTAAGGATGCTCTAAGAACAAACAATGACCGAAGGCTTATGAATGGCGGCATAGGACATAAGGTTGAGGACCACAACCTAAGATTATTGATTACCAAACAAACTAGGTGTAATATCATACGACATGGATCGACTCTTGCAATCTAGACACCATGACGTAAAAGTCTACCCAGCTAAAAATTTCTTTGGACAAAAACGGCACACCCCATCATAAAGGGTGAATTTATAATTCAATTAATTATATTATACACTCCAATCTAGATGTTTTATATTTTTAAAATTTGTGATCAAATAACATATTCACATATTGTATACATTCTCTTATATAGTTTATAGAATTATAACTCACAATATCATATATAGCATAATCTATTGATACTTAGAGAGTAAGAGTACAATCAGTACCAATTGAAGCTGGTAACATAGTATCATTAACTAGCTTAATTGTCGTGACTACGTGAGTGACTGTGCACTCTTTATTGCTTAAGCGATGTGCGGGCTTAAAGATGCCTCTTAAAGTTAGAACCTACTCGGCTACCCAAGATACTTCGTGGTCTGACAAAAAAAAAAAAAAAAAAAAAAGACTTAGCATCATTTGTGAATACTTAAAATACCAATTATGCTCCACTCTCATCCAAATATTCCTTTACCTACCACACTAACTAATATGCAACCATGAATTGCAGGCACTAGACTCTTGTACTTGGTTTGAGTCCTTCAACAATCAACAATGCTCATCTGATGTAACTCTCCATGTGACTAATTAATTTCATCACATAACTATCTCTTCAACAAGGATTAACAACAACAAAAACCATTGAGAGAGAGATAGAGATAGAGAGGGGGAGAGATGGGATCTCAGAAAACTATATTTGAATTGCTGTAAAATGAAAAGGTTTCTGCACTGTCATGAAAATACAAACAAACAAACAAACAAACAAACAAACAAACAAACCAACTATGGATGAAATTTAAAAGCATTATAATATTTACAATTCGACCAACTCCAGGATTGAATCAGTTGTCGCACTTGAGTTGCACGGCATTGTCAACAACGAGGGCACCAGAAAAGGGAAGAGCAGGGGAGACTCGCACAAGAAGGTTGTCGAGAACTAGACAGAAATCCTTGAGGGGCACTTCCGGTAACATCATAATAACAAAAATTATACAGCAACAGCATGGCTCACTCTTTGTATTCACCTTATTAGAGGAGCAACATGGCCAAGAATTTCATACCTGCATCGAAATACATCACCCCAAGAAAGGTCATGTCTCTATCTCCCAGTCTGAAAATTTGTGCAAACTATCTGCAAATGGTCAAAGTATTCATACCACATTCTCTCCTGATAATAGCAGATTAAACAAAGAAATGAGTGATGAATCAGAGGCTCAGAGCACTTACAGTATAGCAACCATCATGCCACAACCAATTCTAATCCCTGAAGTTGGGAACATGTTTCAGAAGTTCAGGGGCCTGAGGTAGTTCCTCCATTTCCGTCTGGTGGAGGTTGGAATTTGCTGAACGCATTGTATGTTCCTTCTCCCAGCTTGGACACTTCAGAGTTATTGCCAAACTCAGCAGCCTTTGTTTTGCCATGGGCTTGTTCTGAACTTTTTGACCCCAAGTTTTGTCCGGGGCCAGCTTCTCTATTCTTTTGTCTCCTGTTTACAGTCAAGAACCCATTGGCCAAAGCTTCCAAAGCTCTCATAGTTGGAGGACGGTTTCTTGTGCCATGTCTCCTTGAGCTCATGCTAGGTGGCTGTTGTTGATCAGAACTATCCACACCTGTCACCACCTGCAATTCACTGTCACTTTCAGGCTTCTTTACGCCATCAGTTTGTTCTTCAGTCGTTTCTGTTAAAGACAGCCCATTCTCAGAATCTGGTGAGACTGGAAGCACATTAAGGTCAATCAATATCCTTGGTTGAGGTTCCACAGGAGAAATTTCTGCAGGACACGAATTATTAACAGGGACACATTCAGTGCTCACAGAAGGGCTGCTTTTTGATGAGCTGGTGGATGACATCTTATCCTGAAAGGAGCCCGTCTGCAAAGCATTGGTTGCAGGCATATTATGCACACTTGAACAGCAACTGGGCATCGCCAATTCCACTCTGGAAACACAACTTATATTGTTTGTCTCTGTGCGACTACAAGCAGTTAGTCTTCGACGCTTTTTGGTGATGGGAACTATATCATCTTCTTCCCTTAGTTTCTGACTGATGCGGGGTTTCACCACTTTTTTTGACTTCATGTCTTCACAAAGATCTACATTCTTCATAGCATTGGTCACAGGAATGCTCTCAGGACAGCTGCCATGGACCTCTTCGTTTATAACATTAGCCATCTTCCTGTTTGTAGCACCAACTTCAAGATCTTTCCTGCCAGAAGATGTTTCCCCATTAGGTAAGCTTGTATTTGAATCGGCAGAAATGAGCACAGCTTGATCAAGCAACATGGTATCAACAGAGTCAGGTATATCGGTCGACACCTTCTGACTGTCCTTGCCACTATCTTCAGAATGAGTTTGAGTGGACAATTTTCTTGAAGTACCCAATGACAAGCTTTTCAAATCTCTTACTTTGTAGGGTTTACCATCACATAGGCTGGTATCGACAACCGTAAATTTGATGTCATCAGTACATTCATTAGGAGTTCTTGGTTGAAGATAAGAGTGGGATCTCACCGGAGGCAGATCATCACTTTCCACCTTTGCTCCATGATGCCCTTCATTTTCTTCGTGACGGTCTTCTTCCGTATCAAGGTCAAGCAATTTAGGTTCAGAAGCAACTTTACCAAGAACATCTGTAACGGAGTCAAAATAGTGGTTTCCCTTGACAAGCTTCCGAGAAAACTTCTTAACACCAGGCATGAGAAAAACCAAACTATGCTTGGAACTACCAGCACCATAGGGCATATTTTTAGGTTGCTCCGAGTGCCAACCTCTTGCCAGTAATAGTGGCCAGACAGCTTCCCAAAACAAATCATTAGACCGTGCTTTGCTCAATCGATAGCCTCCAGTCAGATACTTGATAATTTCATTGGGTGTGAGAGAGGAGCAGGCTTTGCCAGTAGGTATCTCTGAACGCATGGTTAATACATTATTGGACCTTGTGGGTTCGAAGGCCATACTTGTGAGATCTTTTACTTCGCCTATTCCAACTGCTTCTATGAGAGCATTAATCCCAACCAAACGCTTCAATGTAAAGACATATTCCTCCAAAAGCATTTTTCCCTCTCCAAATGTCCTGGAGATCTGTAAAATTACAAGATATCAGAAGCAGCTTTCAAAAGATAGGAAGACAAGCACAGTGGCATAATAATAGGCATACAAGGAAGCTAACTGCAGCCTATCCTAATAAGACCTTTCATTATCTTAGTTACCTTAGACATATTCTTCCAAGTATTAAGTAGTCAGAATGATAGAAGTACTAAATGACATAAGATGAGGGAGAAAACCTGAGTGAAAAGCACGGGCAAGCGAGAGACTAATAAATTAAATGGTCCTAGTCAAGGTAGTCGGGCGGCTTTAAAATAAAAAAACATGACTTGCATAGTTCAATAGAAAGAAGAAGATTCTAAGCACTGAAAGCATTCATTCAACCAAATCCTTTTTTGGGTAATTAGTGACAAAATGTTAAATTGTTGCACCTCAATATACAGTTTTTGATGATTTTAAGATCTGGATTGCTTGAAGATTTTAAAAAAATACAGTGCACTAGAAATCAAGAAGAAAAAATAAGCAGGTCAGTTCTCAATCCAGCCTGAGATTGCATTTAAATAATTATAGACATTAGAAAGTGAAAACTACTTGGAATCTATAAAGCGTTGCATATTTTACAACAGAAACTTGTACAAAGCCATTCCAAGCCTTAAGTGCCAAATATAATAAGTTTAAAAGAAAAGTACAGGTTATAAGTTATATCTCCTAATGCAGGTATACTACAAAATGATGAAAACTCAACTGGAGTCATTTGGTTGCTCCAAAAATAGTATATGAAGTGCAGATATATGTTAAAACAGCAATTGACAAAGGCTTACAGACAGGAATTTGTGAGATCAACATGCTGTTACCCCAAGAAGAAATGAATTCTACACACTTTTAGCATAATATGAGAGAATGTTTAGATAGAATTGATGCCACACCAGCACATAATTGGCTAAAAGGTCCCCATTGATGGATTTGGCATTCTGCTGGCATGTTTAGAAGTAGAAATGAATTATTCACACTTCTAACTCATTCTAAAATAGTGATGAGATGAAAAAGGAATATAGTGATGGCAATGATACAACACAAGCACTTAAACATCAATGGCCATGGAGACATAGAATGTACAAAAATGAAAGCCAATTTTCCTTCATCACAAACTTTAGTATGAAAAAATACCTCCAAAAGTTCACTTTGGCCTTCTGCTGACACTTTCGGAAATAAGCGAGACAACAGTTCCTGAAGCCTCGATCCAACAAAAATCTTTTGCCCATACACACATTTCCGGCTTCTAACTCTTCGACCATCTGACCATCTACGGAACTCATCAGATCCATAAAATTCCCCATAATAATATGCCATTATGTCACTGGTCTTTTTAGTTTGAACAAACCTCTTTACATGAACAAAGTTCTTGTCAAATATATAGAGAGCAAGGAGGAAACTTTTCCTTTCAATATCAGTCCACGAATCAAGAACATCATCTGGAACTAAACAGGACTCTGGGCATCCCCCTTTTGGTTGTTCCTCCTCAATTGATGCATTTCTTAATTTTCCATCCTCCACAATAATATCTGATGATGACTCAGATCCCCTGCTACTGGAGGCAATTTGTGAACTATCACCCAGCTTTTTAGTCGTGTCTCCTCCTTCATTCGCCCACCTTAAAGGTATGTGTAACCCAACAAATAAATCCCAAGAGTCAGTTCCTTCAGCCTTATTCTCTGGATATGGTGGAATTTCAACCTGATATTCTTCCCCAACTCGAGGGCGGATATGTGGCTCCCCAAATACACCACAAGCATCAGAGGAGTCTGATGGGAGTGACTTTCCAGTGGCCATGTGCTCAGTGCAATCTGTATTGGAATTCATCTGAATAGAATCCATTCAAGAGTGAAAGCCAGCAAAGCTTCTGTACATACAAACACAGACATAAATCGTCATAAAGCAAGGCAGAGTCCAATGCTTAGGATACAAAGGCAATAAAAGAATTTAAGCTATCGGAATGTTTGCAAATATGATCAAATCAAAGAAAATATTACAAGAAAGGCTGAAATGGAAAATTATGGACACCATAAATAGTAAACGGTAAAATACAACAGATTGAGCAACTAAAACATGATTCTTCTTATTGCCTTGAAACAGTTGGACAGAAATACAAGAAATATACACAAAACAACTGGATTGTTTTGTTCTTGCTGAAGAAACATGTGTACCCCCGCTTCTTCAGAATGGTTTTCATGTTCTCTGATAAATGTTGTATCTGAAAATTTTGTCACGTCTTCATATATTTATTGCTTAATATATATATATATATATATATATATATATATATATATATATATATATATATATAACAGAGAAATAGAAAGTCATTAAGAGCCATTAATTTTATCCCAAAAAAGGAACAGATATTTTCTTTACTCATGAACTATACAATAAATACAAATAAAATGCAAAATTAAATGAAAAGGTGGAAAACACTGGGAAAAAAAATACTTATTATTTTTAGACCTTTGACAAGAAAAGAATTAAAATGCAAAACTTGAAGCCAATTGAGTCTGGATAAAAAAATAAAAAAAAAAAGAAAAGAACAAAACTAAAGAGCATTGACCAGAAAATAGACAAATGAACTTGAATTTCCCTAAAGAAAAATAAATACGATGCAAATAAATGCACTGCAAAAACCAACTGCTTCAAATTCATCCCCGCCCCCTCCCCTCAAAAAAGAAAGTTAATTTACCCCAATTGATAAATTCTCAGGAAAGAATGAGAAATAACAATACAAACTGAAGAAGGAAACGCAAATGCAAAAAAAAATTGTGTGTAAAAGGTGGATTCTTACGATGCAAAATAAATACGATGCAAATAAATGCACTGCAAAAACCAACTGCTTCAAATTCATCCCCGCCCCCTCCCCTCAAAAAAGAAAGTTAATTTACCCCAATTGATAAATTCTCAGGAAAGAATGAGAAATAACACTACAAACTGAAGAAGGAAACGCAAATGCAAAAAAATTTTGTGTGTAAAAGGTGGATTCTTAACAAGCTTTGAACAAGCCATTACCTAATGAAAAATTCCGCAGGCGACACCATCACAATCAAACTCTACGATTACTTCACGATTCCCACTACCCAAGTCATGTTTCACAAGAATAAGAGTGAGTACAGCTATACAACGATGTCATACATACATATATACTCACAAGAATTATATACGTACACGTAAACAAATAGTGCTTTGGAAGGAATTGGGAACGCAAGGCATGTGAAGGATGTTGGGACTGAGGGAATTGATTTGTTGTTTTGTACGCAAAGTCTGTAAAAAAGGATAGATAAAGAAAGAAAGAAAGAAATATACATATACATAAATAAATACACACACACACATATTATATATATAGATACTGGTTCAAATGCGGGCAGTGCTTCCCGTGCAGCGTGCGTGGAGTCACCATTAGGTATGCATAAATGCATCACCCAGCGTTTGGAAATGCACCACAATAAAATGCACCAATGCACCACACACCAAAAAATGCACTACACCGCACCACACCTAATGATGCATTTCTGAACACTTTGTGGTGCATTTATGTGTACCTAATGGTGAATGACCGCACAGCCGCACACACGCACCAAATAAGATACATGACATATATAAACAAGTGTTATATGATACATTATGCAATGCCACAACACGTGAATAAAGGAAGGGAGGAAGGGAGAAAGTGAAAAAGTGAGAGGGGTGGGGAAGAGTATGGGACCAAGGACCAGGTTGGAAGTTTGTACCTAGGTTCTAAAACAAGCATTTCGTGATGTTTAATTCAAAGAGGAAGAGACTAAGGGCCCATTTACTTCACTTCTCCAGTTTTGCAAATCCAAACTCAATTTTTGGGAATTATAATCACAATTCACAAATTCAATATACTATTGGAAATACTTTAAAAAGTTACAATAACACTAATATTTTGAGTGAATTTTTTAGACCAAATATTCAAAATATTTTTGGATATGTTTAGTTGAGTGAAATATCTATAAAACATACACGGTTAACCACAATCAACTAGCTTCCCAACTTAGCCAATAGCTAATTTTACCAAACACTTTTAACCACAATCAACTAGCTTAACAGCTCTCAACTTTCAACTTCTAACTTATAGCTTTTCAGCTTTCAACTAGGCTTGCCGAATAGAGTCTTCAATTTATCTAGAAAAGTGGGTCATATCTCCAATTAGTAAAACTATCCTAAGATTCACAAGATTGTAAGTCAGCAAAGCTTGAGATGAGCACAAGATGTAGATCATATAATAACAAAGAAATGCGTAGGAAAGCAAGGCCCAATCTCCAATTCTCCATATTTATCATACAAATTGACTAGAACTAGTCTCAGTAGATATCAGTTGAAAATTTGAGATGATGATTTTACAGAAGAGTTACAAGGAAAATTGAAGAGGTAAACTTGAGAGACCTAATTTTAAAATGGCAAAGGGTGAAAAACTGAACCATATCTATGTTAGCAAAAGCAGTTCAATATAAAACAACCTGTTTTAGCATTGAACAGTATTGAATCTATTGATTGTAATACAAGGAAGTAAATGACAAGATATAGTGCATACCTTAAGTTAGGATCAGTCAGATCTTTGTGTTCTTTATTATACTTTAACGGAGTCCGTTACAGAGTTCTCACGAAGATACGTCAAAAACAAGGAACTTAGTGAGAATGCTTTTCATGTTCGCCTATTAATACAGTATCTCCTAAGAGCTGTCAATTTGTCATCCATTTAATGTCATCTCAAAATCTGTTTAAAAGAAAAAGTTTCTCTCCAGTCACATAAATTATACAATCAACATAAAAATACCAACTAACAAAAAAAAAAAAAACAAAAAACAAAAAAAAACAAAAGCAGTTAAAGTGCATAAAAAGGCACCACAATCATGCAAAATAGTCTAGTTCTGATATTAACAAATAACACGGTTAATGGTTGCTTAAGTGCGATAGATTATACAATCTGCTTGAACAAACCTTTGGTTTCAAAAGGTTGATCAATTTCAATGAATATTGAAGACTCAAGTGTTGTTTTATAGGCTAAGTATTAATTTTTTAAGATTGATTTTTTATTCCTTGTGATAAACCTCAATGATTAATTCATAATGTGTTTTGCTAAAATGCCAAAATATTTTTTTGCATCTAAAATTGCCAACGTAGTATTAAAACCAACCCAGTCAAACAATTCAATAGGAGCCTTGACTGAAGCTCCTTATCCTTTTGATTTTCACGTTGCAAAATTTTTCGTAAGTGCTCAATGTTATATTTTGAAAGGATATATATTATTAATAGAAATTTCATGTATATAACAATGGCTCAAAAATACCCTTAATATAGCGATTACATGGCACTAAATGATTCAAACTATAATGACAATAAACTAATTAGAACTCTAACAACATAGATCATACAATCCTAATCTAATACTCTAATACCCCACCTAATCCGACTATCCAAGCATGTAAAGCATATAAAAGATTGTAAATGAATCATTTTCAGAAACTGCTTGATCCAAGTGTAACAAATAAATGAAAGATTGTCAAATAGTTTGCCTTCATAGTTCCAATTTGTTTACCTTAGACATACCATTATTCTCATCCTATGAGAACATAAAAGAGCGATATTACTCAAACCAATGAATAAGAAAATTCAACCCTAGAAAAAAAACAATTGAAAAAGGTAAAATAAGAATGTTAAAGGCTTCAAGAAAAAAATGAAAGAGTCTAAAAATTCCTCAATGATCTATTAAAAAAATGCATGACAACATAAGCTCACTCATGAAATAAAGAGGAAGAGTTTGATATTAAAAACAACAAATGTTGAGATACATTAGTTATTGCCATCAATGGAACTATTGCATAAGAAATTAAGAAAAATAACATTTAAAAAAAAAAAAATAGAAAGAAAAGATATGTTTGGCAAACAGCTCATTGCAATCACCGTCAAGGAAGAAGTATGTTGATCTAACCCAAAGTCAAACTTGTTCTTGATACCAGAATATAAGGAAATGACACTTTTGGTCCCTCAATTATAGAGGTATAGTCAACTCAATCTCTCAATTGTTGGCATCTCGACTATTGATCCTTAGGTTAGCACCAAAGTGGCACATTTGATCGCCTAGTGACAAAATTATTAATACCAATGTTAAAATCAAGAAACCCTAATTTCTCAAAGTAATTATTGTAATTTCACACGAGTCTACCATCTACCATATTTCAATTGACGCTTAACCTACATGCAAGAATGAAACTAATTTGTTTACACAGTATGGTTTATGAATGATTTCACCAATAATTGCTACATGAACATTCCCGCCTATGACGTGATGGAATCTAGTCGAGTCCCTGACAAGAACCGGATGCCTTCTAACTAGTGATACGTGTTGCAAGCTTGGAGATTCTTGAATACTGCAGCACAACTATTGTTTTGTGTTGATATCAAACCGAACGCAATGGCTAATCTTTCACTGTGGACAAGAAGTTGTTCCTTTCTCTTTGGTAAAGTATTTATTATTCAATATCATCCTCCTTAGAATTTGTTCTCATTACTCCTACCATGAAATGCAAACTCCTTTAACTTGTGTTATATTTCTTCCATTTAGGGATGATGCTGCCACCAACTATAAACCAGTGAACTTTACCCTAGAAAGTACTCCACTGATCCAGCTGCAACCAACCTCCTTCAAATTTCTTTCAGCCATCATCCTTTGAATGTTAGCAGCTCCGTCCCTATTTCCAAATGAAGTATCTAAGTTGAACATTCGAATATAAGCTGCAGTGTCATTCAGGTATACTAGTGGGAGCTTCTGAGCTGAAATTTTAGCAAACTTGAAATTATGGTGAATTGAGCACCTACCCAATAGACTTTTCCAGCTTGTTGCGTTAGGTTCAAATGGTATTGTTTCAATCAAATCAAGTGCTTCACCTAACAAACCCAGCTTGAGAACAAACATCTACCATGCAGTCATAATGGTCAATAATTGGCTCTACACCATACTCACTGCCCATCATTTCCAAGTACTCTTCAGCCACTTTGATTAGACCAGAATGACTACAAGTAAAAAACAGCAGTAAATGTAATAGTATTTGCCTTACACTTGCCATCATCATTCTAAAAAGTCTTAGGGCTTCAAAAGCATCACCCTGTTAAGCAGATCCAGGAATCATTGCAATCCAGATCATAGTGTCAGGGCTGACCAGTGGTAATGGAAGCAGGGAGTTACCAGATTTGCTTTACCAGTTGGGAAAATGGTATTGAAGTAGTAGACCAGTGTGAAATTACAATAATAACCCTGAGAAATTAGGATTTCTTGCTTCTAATGTTGGTTTTTAATGATTCCATCACTTGGGGGTCAAATGTGTCACTTTGGTTACAAGGACTAAGATTGAAGGCACCAACAAATGAGGGGCTAAGGCAACTATACCCTCATAAATGAGGAACCAAAAGTGTCATTTTCCCTAAAATATGTCATGATTGAAAAAACCATTTATATAGAGATTAAATAACATTGAATAATATTCAAACTATAAGAACTTTATAACTAGAATTCTAAAGAATAGGATAGATAGTCATACTCTAATACTCAAACACATTCAAATGATGAGCATGGCTAAAGTTTTGCTAAACCTCAAATTGTGTCTCTTATTCTTTCCTCAGCTAGAAGGTTAGAATACTTGGTCCATAAGTCCATCCATAGGCCAAAGTGTTGGGCACAACTAAAGGGTTAGTTAGACCTCCAACTGTCTCTCCCTCAAGTCTAATTTCTAATAGACTATTTTGTACCTAGTGCTTGATCAAAGTACCTCACTAGGAACTCCACCCGAGTCACTCCAACCGACTATTTCTTAAATTGGTTTTGCAACATTTTTAGAGAGTCAGATTTTCAATCAATTATATTGCGCTACTGGAAGTCCAACCGAACACTCCAACCAAGTTAGTGTTTTATTTTGATCAACAGCTACAGTCTATATTAGAGCTCTTTTCATGCTTTATAAGTTAAGTTACATGGTTGGACCTTCAACCAAGCCTCCGAAAGAGTTTTGTCGGTCTTGAAGCTATTGCCTAGATTACTCAAACAAATGTTATACCCTGATCCCCCCCACTCCCCACCTCCCCGGCCTGACTAGATTCACTTGGCCTTATCTTAACCCCAAATGGAAAGCTTCCTAAGTAATTAAGATGAAAGTGATATGCATAGAGTCCATGGCAAAGCAGCTGAACTCAAACTAGAATAACACCACAAATTTCAGAGGAAACCTTCATGAGTTCATATTAGTCCAAACAAAAAAATTTCATTCTTAAACTGGAACTCAGGTAGAAAATACACAGACAAACCAAAACCACAAGAATGTATATTTATGTCAAAATATAGTAAAACCCTATTGCAACCCCATCATAGACCTAGGGTCCTAGGCTTAGCCCATTGTGTACCTATATAAGCATGACGTTAGTACCAGAATGTATATATTACAGATTTACTGTATTATCACATTACTAGTATAATCAATAGGAGCTTCTTCAAAGACTTTTACTGCAATGTTCTTTTGCCAAAAAATAAAAAATAAAAAAATAAAAATAAAAAAAGGGGGGGAAGGGGAGGGGGAGCATTTTTGTCACACGCCACTTTTTTCCTTCTACTCCCAACCTAGTTGATATGACCAAAATACCCCTAATTCTTTCTTTGTTTAGAAAGAGGCATTATAGTAAAAAAAAAACATTTGAAAATTTTCCTATAATCAATATATTCCATTTTTTCTAGCTTTCATATATTAGTTTCCACCTCATTCAAGTGGTAGATATTCACCACCTGCCAAATCTTCAATTGTTCAATTTAAACATGGTATCAAAGCCCTAAAGCTTAATCTATTTTCAAATTTTTCAGTAAGAAGCCTTGGGTATTTTCCTGTGAGTCACATCTTCCTTAAACATTTCACAATTCTCTGTTAGCCGCTTGGAAAAACTAATAGCCACTACTATGTTTGGAACCTCGTCGTAACCTCATGATGGGAGTATTGCCATTGGAGTTCCTCCCATTGCCCCACATATTGCCTAAGAAATTGGGTCATCCTATGGATTTTCATGTCAATCTCTCATTTTGGTGATTGCTTGTCGACACTACCCTCATTGAGTGTTCCTCTCTCCCTTTAATGACCTAATTTGTAAAGTTGGCACCACATGCTATCATCGACTAGTGAGCCAATACCCTATTTTCTCCTTTCAACATGATAGCCCAAAGGAAGCCCTTCACTATTTCAACCTTCACCTTTACCAGTCTTGACAAAGGAAAAACTCTCTTTTTGACAACGTGTCCTAGAGTGCATTGAATTGGACCCTCCCCTTAAAACGAAAGCTTTTAACACCACCAATATCATTGACAACCAGGTGAACTCAAAGTGGACCGAACAAGCTTGGGATTGGATCCTCCCCCTCAAAAAGAAGCTTGGATGCCACCAATACCACGGGTAGACACCCGGGTGAATACAAGGTGAACTGAACAAGCTCTAATACCAAGTTAGAATCTAAGATTGGGCCAAGCTCACTCAACTGGGTTGTAATGCGCATGGCCAAACCACACTAAAAGATTAAATCGAATCAATTAGCTAGTCTAAACCATTGAGTTATAAACCCATATATTTCTCTCTTATTGAGTTATAAATCCAATCAATTAGCTTTCGTTTCAGGGGAGGGTCCGGTCCAATTTCAAATGGTGAACCGGTTAGATTCAAAATGGACGGGTTGTCCAGTTGGGGGGGTGTTAAGAGTCCCACATTGAAAAAATAAGAGAGAATATATGGGTTTATAAGACCATGAGTTAGACTAGCTAATTTGTTGGATTCAATCTTTTAGTGTGGTTTGGCCCATGTGCATTATAGCCTAATTGAGTGACCCTAGCCCAATCTTAGTTTATAACATATATGTAACTTAGGTGAGGAGAAAGTGAAAAAGAAAATCATAAACATATATTAGATATTGGCAAGATGGTAAGAAGCAAATGGTATCAAAACAAAGCATTTATCACATTTTCTTATTAATTTTGTATATAGAAAAGTTGTGACTTCATCTATTTATTGCATAGTTATATACGAAAATGAATGGTAGGGAAGTCATTAAGATGCAATTATTCATAGCCAAGATCTATCCAAAAGCAAAAGATTTTTTTCCTTCGCTCTTTTAAATCATACAATCAAAACAAATAAAATCCTAATTAATAATAAGGGAGCAGTGGTGGGGGAGGAACAAAACTAAAACAGCAAATGGAAAAAGATAAAATTGACCATAAAATTATACAAGTGAACTTGTGAGTTCCTAAATAGAAATTAAATACTCCATAGATGTTAAAATAAATGCAGTGCAAAATACCAACCACTGTATAATCATCCCCACATCCACCTCAAAAAAGATGCAAAATTATAGGTGCCCAAAACCATCCAAGCCACATTCGACAGACTAAAAAATGCAAGTTTCTCTATTTTTAAATATTCAGTGGTTTTAATGTTTAAAAGCAAAAAAGATACAGAGAAGCTTATGGTTTAATAATTTAGAGAGTCAAAAGCAAACCACATCCTCTGCTATATATGCATTCAAGTATACATATTCACTCTCACACACACACACACACACACACACACACACACATATATATATATATATATATATGATTTTTTGACTTATTTAATTCAATAAATTTTCTTGTGTTATTTTTTAATTTTCAACATTTAGGTTAGTATTAACTATTTAGTTGGGTTTGGTACTCATGAACATTATACCAAGCCATAAATTAAAAAATATAAATATAAAAAATAAAAAAGTGCAGACAAAGGATCGAAAAATATCGTTAAAACATATTTTGTAAATCAACAATAAGATATTTGTTATTTGTCCAAAGATAATAAAATTTTATGTTAACAGCTTAGTTTCTTTCAAAAACTAATATAAGCATGTTATATATTACTAACTATTAAACCACCAAACCGATGAAACTAAACTGCTCATTTGTTTGGGAGTGTTGTAATGTGTTCTTGTAATTTGTTGTACCAGGCTTACTTGTTTATTGTAATAGAGTGCTCATACTTCATTCAGCTCAAAAAGTTAAAGAATAACAAAAGAAGTAGTCCATAGTTGAAACTGCCAGATGAACACCCCTACCTAAAATTGAAAACTGGGATGCAATAAAGTGAACAGCTTGGTAATAATTCTTTGAAACTGTAACAGAATTATCAAACCCCAGATCCATTTTCCAGCAAATACCAACACCAAACTAGAAAATAACACCACAAACTCCAAGGAGAGACCTTCACATCAATCCTGGCAAAGCAATGCAAAAGGCGCAATCACTAACCTCTCATGAACAGAAACCAAGACAGGAAATACACGAACAAACAAAAACCGGGACAATGTATTTAAAAATAAAGAATAAATCTTTAACAAGTCATCTCTATACCGCAAATTCCCAATGCGATCCCCACCAAAATCAAACTCCACAAACACAAACACTCCCCCATTACTCAGTCGTGTTTCGCAAGCATAAAAAGGGGACCAATACAGCACCATATTTATACACGCACATATACACAAACATCTAACGAGCACTGCAAATATGCATACATAAATATGCAAGAATTGAGGCCAAGGAAGTGGGACTGGGAAATGGGTCTTGGAGTTTCAAATGCATAACAAGGCAAGACCAAGGAAAGCTAATAGATACCCCACACATAGACACAAATACTGTATGCATATGTTACCATATATAGGAAGAGAGGCAAGTATTTACCTGGGTTCTAAACGAGCAGATGCTTGATGTTTCATGGTGTCGAATTAGGAGGGGGGAGGGGTAGTGGGGGGTGGGGGGGTGGGCTAACCAAAATAAGAGGAAAAATGTGAGACTTCAGACTATCTTATTCTCGCTAGTCGTTGCGTGCCGAGGTACGGGCAATGTGCGGGGGGGGGGGGGGGGGGTTGGGGGCTGTTATTATATTATACTGTGTACTTGTATGGTATGCTATCTTCTACGTCTTTTGTTCTTTTTAATTAACGACTTTAATTCAAAAATTTTAGTTTTATTTGGAACATTTACTGGACGTTTGGTTGGGAGGATAGAATTTAAATTACATAAAATTGTAATTCCGTTGAGTTTGGTAGGAATGAAATTATAATTTCATCTTACTAAACACTCCATTACAGAATTATAACACGTTTGATTCAAGCTTCATATACATATACACACAGAGAGCTTGCTCACTTGCCGCAAAAAGCAAGTCTTAAGTAAGATTTTTCATCCACTAATATTTATATACTGTGAGATAATTAATATTTGAATATATACCTATATATTTTTTATATTTCCATACTTTCCACATTTCATTTTCTTTTTTTTTTTTAGTTTTATTTTATTCTTTACATATTTTATTTCCTACCAAATATATTTTTATTCCTCTAAATTCATTCAGTTAACTAAACATGCTATTAGAGTTTTAAAGTATTTTGTATAATTTTGAATCTTATTTGTTAACATTATATTCATTAATATTTTAAAAATTGATTATAAATAAATTGAAAATACTTGCTAACTAAATTATAAAATATCTCAATTGTTTTTTTTTTTTCTTTCCCATATTAACTTATAATGTGGGGAATTGGGGATTAAAAAAATTATTTTTATTGTTGTTTGTGAATTAGTCAATATAATCCCACTAAGAATTTAAATAAAAAAAAAACAATAATGTCACATCAAGTGATCAAGTTTGATGAGGAGAATATAACAAATTCTTATGATGGAAAGGATATATTTATATATAGTAAAACTTGTATAAAAAAATATTAGACATGATATTATAGAATAATTTGAGAGAGATAAAGGGGTGGTATTTGGTCCATTTAATAGAAAGTAAATTGCTATTTATATACAAATAACAAATTTGCCATAATTTTACAATCTTTTATATTTATTCTTTCCAAATCTTTTATATTTATTATTCACTAATAAAATGATCATGAAATTGTAAAAATGTCTACAATGTTATATGAACCTGATATTATTTAACCTAACTGACTTATAAGAGCCCGTGTAAGATATATATCTAAATTATGTATGCATTATTTATGCTTTACCTCATGTTAAAATTAGTGTATTTCTTAATTTTTTTTTCATCTAAAAAATATACTTACACTACTAAATATTCTGTTAGTTAAGTATGAACTACCAAACGTACATATACCTTAATACATTAATTTTCAAAATAATTTACTTAATTAAATAATTATATTAAACCAAATATGTTTTACTATAACATTTAATATTTACCTCAACAAACATATCTTTAAACACACACATTTATTTATAATAATAATAATTAAATCTTATTAATATAAACGTAAAAACTAAGTTAATATTCAATTATTTTAATATAATATGGATTATGTGGTCTGTGTTATTTGTTTATTTATTATATTTTGAATCATTTTAATATTAAGTATCAATGTTACATTGAGTATTTATTTTGGTGCATCGTACATATAAATTCAATGTGCTAAAATATAACCATGTGCATTATTACAATGTGATGTACGACACATGTATTCTGCGGTCTTATTAATGTCGTTTTACCATACACATGTATTCTGCGGTCTGAAAATTATTTAAAAGAATACTTACTAATAAAAAATAATTTTAAAATATTTTTTAATCACTCATAACATGTATAAATCTTATATTTTTAAAAAAATACTATTTGATAAATATCATAAATTAATTAGTACAATATCATTTATATTTATAAATTATAATAATTAAAAAATTAAAAAATGTAAACCAATGATTTCAAAATGAAATTAATATACAGTTACAACTTAGACATAAATATAGCATGATTAGATTTACTTTAATTAGTTTTAATTTCGTTAATAAAATGACTTTTCTTTATCAGTTTTTTTATGGGAGGGCTAAGAGAGTGTTTGGATTGCTGAAAAATATTTTAAAATAAAAATACATACTAATAAAAATAATTTTAAAATATTTGTTAACCCTCATAACATGTGTAAATGTTATATTTTTTAAAAAATACAATTTGATAAATATCATAATTTCTGTTTATAATAGTTAAAGAAAAAATAAATAATTCAAAAATGTGAACCAATGATTTCAAAATGAAATTAATATACAGTTACAAATAAATGTAACATGATTAGATTTACTTTAATTAGTTTTAATTTTCTTAATGAAATGACTTTTATTTTTCAATTTTTTATTAGAGACCAAGAGAGTGTTTGGGTTGCTGGAAAATATTTTAAAAATAAAAATACTTACTAATAAAAAGCAATTTTAAAATATTTTTTAATCCCTAAACCTGAGAAAATTTTATATTTAAAAAAAATATAATTTGATATATTGTTAGGAATAAATTGTAATAGATTTTGATATGCCATATTGTAAATCGTAGATTCCCAATTTTATTTTGGTTAGACTAGTCGAGTCATAGACCAAGAAAGGGAAAAATAAATTCATTAGTTGAGGAAATGGATGAAGAAGATATAAAGCCTAAAATCAAGAATTTGCCTAGAGAAAATGGCAAACAAAAGAGGAAGATGTATGCATATGAAAATATGTATACAAGTTATGAAGACTATCATCCGAAGAAGAAATTTCTCAAATATCCAAGAAGAAATCTCTCAAGAAATCAAGAAGAAATCCCTCAAGAAATCCCGAAGAAAAAAGAACGTGACTTGAAGTTTGCATGAAGCTATCTTGAAGATCAAGCATCTATAGAAAGAAAGGAGTACACCAAGTGAAACAAAATGATAACCAAAAGGCTGTACGGATGAGTTGGAAGAAGCTTGAAATATTATATGCAAGATTCACAGGTTTGAATCTCACATCCCACATATTTTAAAGAAGCCGAAGGGAAGCAATTTGCAAAGTCAAATGGGATGAGATTTCCAAGTTGACTATGGGATGAAGTTTCTTAAGGATGAAGTTCACGCATCTCACCCTTGGGGCAGAAGTTTCAATTTGATGTGAAGGGATGAAGAGTTCACGCATCTCACCCTTGGGGCAGAAGTTTCAATTTGATGGGATGAGATTTGCAAAGGGTTTCAATTCAAGGGATGAAGTTTCAATTCCAAATCTGGGGCCTTGGGGTAGAAGTTTCAATTTGATGGGATGAGATTTGCAAAGGGTTTCAATTCAAGGGATGGAGTTTCAATTCCAAATCTGGGGCATGAGATTTGCAAAGGGTTTCAATTCAAGGGGCCTTGGGGCAGAAGTTTCAATTTGATGGGATGAGATTTGCAAAGGGTTTCAATTCAAGGGATGGAGTTTCAATTCCAAATCTGGGGCATGAGATTTGCAAAGGGTTTCAATTCAAGGGATGGAGTTTCAATTCCAAATCTGGGGCAGAAGTTTCAATTTGATGGGATGAGATTTGCAAAGGGCTTCAATTCAAGGGATGAAGTTTCAATTCCAAATCAAGTAAGGGATAAGATTTCAATTGCAAAATCAAGGAAGGGATGAGATTTCACTTCCAAATATAGTAAGGGATGAAGTTTACATGGGAAGAGATTTAAGGGATGAGATTTCAATTGCAAAATCAAGGAAGGGATGAGTGAAGGATGAAGTTTACATGGGAAGAGATTTCCCAAGTCAATTAAGAAGATGAAGTCTGGAAGCAGTAGACAGACCCAGACGTGAAGTACAGAGGAAAATACAAGAAGAAGTTGCAGAAGCAAAAATACAAGTCTAAACTAGTAAGGGATTAAAGAAGTTGCAGAAGCAAAAATACAGGTCTAAACTAGTAAGGGATTAAATTGGAGATTATACTTTGAAAATAAAAATCCCAAGAGGCGTGATCTACACCAGATGAAGATTTTTGGGACGCCATTTTTGCAAGAACTTCTACCTCAACTTGCAGAGAATCTCTAACATATCTGCAACGTTATCTTATCCTCTGAAAAGGCTATACAGCTAGATGAAAATTAAAAAATGAGAACGTTTCTTTCCAACGGACGAATTCTCATTACCAGCTATAAAAGGATGAAGATTGAAGCAGTGGAAAAGCAGGGGCGAAAAAAGAGAAGCAAAATAGCAAGAAGCGAAAATAACAGAGCTAAACAGAGCATACAAAACTCAAAAAAAGCTTTCCATCTCAAGAGCTTAAATTGATATATTCTTTGTGAGATAAACACTCAGAGTGATACAGAGCTTACAAAAGAAATATTCAAGAGTGTTAGAATCTTCATCAATTACAAGAGACTGAGCGCATCAACGAAGATCATCTACAGAGTCTCAAAGTTGGAAGCAAGGCAAAACTTGTTTTGGAGCAAAACAAGGGAAATGAGGAAAGTAACATGGAGTTGTGAAATCCTGGATTGTCACATGGAGTTGTGAGATCCGAAGCAGCAGTGTCGGAAGACATTGGGCGTGATTAGTGCGGGCTTTGTGATCAAAGCACTAGATCACGGGATACGTTTCTACCGGATAGTAGAAGACGGGGGGAAAGTAACGCGGAGTCGTGAAATCCAGGGAAAGTAACGCGGCGACGTGAAACCCGAAGCAGCAGTGTTGGTGACACTGGGCGTGATTAGTGTGGGCTTGGTGATCAAAGCACTAGATCACGGAAATTCATTGTATCTTGGAACCAAGAAGTGGTGGATATAGTGAATTGCTCTTGGAGATAAGAGCAAGTGGAGTAGGAGGATTACACCACCTCGCGAACCACTATAAATTGTCTTGTGTTCTTTACTGCTTTCTTTACTTACTGCTCTTGCTTGCTTCTCACGAGAATAATCTTGACACAATCTACACACACACGGTATCGTTTATTTTATTTTCGCTGTGCACCATACTCTAACAATCTAGTTAAGAGTTTTGGTTTATCTCTGGCTTAGCAATTGTGGTTCTGTGCTAAAAAGTTTGAAAGTCTATTCACCCCCCCCCCCCCCCCTCCCCCTCTCTAGACTTTCACTTTACCTCTTTTGGGACCAACATATATATCATAAATTAATAATTGGAATATCATTTATGTTTACAATGAGAATAATTAAAGAAAAAATAAATAATTCAAACATGTGAACTAATGATTTCAAAATGAAATTAAAATACAGTTACAAATAAATATAGCATAATTAGATTTACTTTAATAGGTTTTAATTTCCTTAGTGAAATGACTTTAATAAAAGTAAAATCATCCTTTACAACATT